GACACATTTTTTTTTTTTTTGAGTTGGAGTCTCACTCTGTCACCCAGATTGGAGTGCAGTGGCACGCTCCCAGCCACTGCAGCCTCAACCTGCTGGGCTCCGGTGATCCTTCTACAAAGTCTGCTAATACCAAGTGTTGACAAGGATGTAGAACAATGGGAACCACAATCCTACTGATGGGAACGTAACCATTTGGTGAGGTTGAAGACCCACGTACACTACAACACAGCAAGTCCATTTCTTTTTCTTTTTTTTAGTTGGAGTCTCACTCTGTCACCCAGACTTGAGTGCAGTGGCATGCTCCTGGCCACTGCAGCCTCGACCTGCTGGGATCCGGTGATCCCTCCGCCTCAGCCTTCCAAGTAGCTGGAACTATAGGTACACGCTACCACGCCCCGTTAATTTTTGATTCATTGTTGAGATGAGGTCTCGCCAAGTTGCCCAGGTGGGTCTCAATCCCGTGGGCTCAGGCAGCCCACTCACCTCGGCCTCCCAAAGCACTGGGATTATAGGCTGAGCCACCGAGCCCGGCCAGCAATTCCATGTCTAAGTATGTGCTATTCTTGCTCATGCGCACAAAAAGACATAGTGGAAACTTTTCCAGCAAAAAAAGAGCAAACTCACAAAAAAACCTGGAAACAATCAACAGTGTAACTGATGAACAAGAGGTAATCTAAACATACAACACAATACTGCATAGCAGTAAAAAAAAAAAAAAAACCAGAGTGAACTATTTTAAACAGCAACACAGATGAATTTTAAATAATAATTCAGTAAAGAAATCAAATTGCACAAGAATGCATAAAGAATGATGATTGACAAATCTACAGAGCTTGAAAGTAGATCAGTGATTACCTAGGGCTGAGAGAAGGCTGGGAGGGAATTAGGAGTGACTGCTATTTTAAATAATAAATCAGAAAAGAAATCAAATTGCACAAGAACGCATAAAGAATGATGCTTCACAAATCTACAGAGCTTGAAAGTAGATCAGTGATTACCTAGGGCTGAGAGAAGGCTGGGAGGGAGTTGGAAGTGACGGCTAACAGGTATGAAGACTCTTTACGGGGTGATGAAAATGTTCTAATATTGATTCTGGCGACCGTCGTGCAACTCTATGAGTATACTAAATACCACTGAATTGTACACTTTAGATGAGTCAATTGTACGGTGTGTGAATTATATCTCAAAAAGTTGTCAAAAAATAAGAATGATACCATGAAGTTCAAAAAGAAGTAGAACGATACAATATAGTATTGAGGGTAATATGCATACATGATAAAATTAGGAAGAAAAGCAAAGCAAAGGTCAACACAAAATCAGCTTGGGGGTTGTCTCTGGGAATGAGACAAGAGGGAGATGAGGCTGCTGTGTGACACAGCCGGGGCTTCAGAGACCCCGGTCAATTCTGTCTCTGAGGCTGGCTGATGAGTGTGTGGCTATCAATTTATTGTTTTATACCAAAATATATACTATATATACCATAACCAAAAATTTTTAAATACCCCTTTCTCTTAAGCATTTGTAGAGTTCATTTAAATAAATAACTGAAATGAAATAATTTTCTAGGAAAGCATTCTAATATTTGAAAATTTGTGGATGTGGATGTGTGTGAGTCTATTCATTTTTTGGTTTTTGGTGATAAACTGAGATGGAACACAAGTGAAACAATTTTACCATTTTAAAAGCAGTCTAAGCTGGGTGTTATGGTAGCTCACACCTATAATCTTAGCACTTTGGGAGGCCAAGGTGGGAGGATTACTTGAGGCCAGAAGTTCTAGATCAGCCTGGGCAACACAGAGTGACCCCATCTCTACAACAAATTTTCAAAAATTAATCTGGCATGGTGGAACCTGCCTGTAGTCCTAGCTCCCCAGAAGACTGAGGAGGGAGGACTGCTTGAACCTAGGAGTCCAAGGTTACAGTGAGCTATGATCATATCACTGCCATTCAGCCAGGGCGACAGAGCAAGACCCTGTCTCTAAAAATAAAACAGTAAGTAAATTAATAAAATAAAAACAGTCAAATATGTATTTTCATTAGGAAAATCATGTTTTCAATTAACTATTCACAAATGAAGTAACCCTTTTTTTTTCTTTATACAACTGTGTTGATCTATATAGAAAATGTAGGAATTTACCTGTTTATCATTAATAGAGTGCTTTTCAATTTCTTTCTTTGCCTGCAGCAGCTTGTCCTAAAAGTAACACAGAACAATTAGTTCTAGTGATTGTATATATGCATACCTGTTTGCTGAAAAGGAGAGAAAATGCAATTATTTGTGTATCTACGACATTCCAGAAAGTACACAAAACAGCATCTACATTGCACAGGTGGACCGGGCCATAGTCTACCAAAGGAAAAAACTGTAAAGTATGTTAAGCTTTACGATAAAGCGATAGCAACTTTAAACATTCATTGCAAAGATAACAAAAAATAAATAAATCTCAATCAACAGTATTAACTGCTGATAGCCACTCTATAATTCAAATAAATGTCTTGATCTTATTATGTGATATAAAATAAGCAACCATGCTGATATGTAACATTTCCCAAAGTTAAAGGCATGTTGTGATTCTATGTCAAGAATGCTTTCGTATGATACTGTCCAAAGCTTTCTTCTTCTACTATAAAAGCAAATACAGTACAAATCACTTTTTACATAGGCTAGGTAACTCTATGCTATGCCTGGCTTCTTTAAAATACTCTCCAGTCAGGCAAAACTATCCATGTAATTGAGAAATTTGTGTCTCAATTTTGTATATCTACTGATTTTCAAGATAACATATATCGGATTATAATATCTTAATTTACTATAAAAGCAACTTAATATCATGAAGAAGAAAAGAATGAAAGAGGAGGAGAATTTTTCCAAAAGGTACATAGGGTTTCTCAACATGAATATGTCTATAATAGAATAATATTGTTCAATTACTACAGACATATATACAACTTGACTTCATCAAGATTGGAATTAAAAACTACATTAGCACATAAGGATATCCTCGCTGCCAGAGGCTCTTCAGCTCACTTATCTCTGGCAATGCCAGGGCCCTACGTAAGTTCTTGAGTAGATAAAAACATAGAGCTCTCCTGCCTCAGCTTTAATTATCTTGTGTCAATCACTGGTGTTGTTTAAAACTCACAAAATGCCATTTTATAAAACCTATGTTTTCATTCAAGAATAGTGACTTCAATGCCAAAGCAAATTCATTGTTAGAGACAGAAGTCAATCTATAAACAAAAGACAAGTAGCTAAATCTGTCTTTTATGGTTTTTAAAAGAAATTATGAATGTTCGAGTCTAATTCTATGTCATTACTTAAACATTTTGCCCCAGGGGCCCTCCCTGGCCTGCCATTGCCACTGGGCCCTGTCCAGCTGTCCACCCCCTGCTTGAGCAGTTACCACACCATCACCCTCCTTTTGCAGAGGTGAATCCAAAATCTCTGAGCAACAATGTCACACTGGCATTCCCACGCCTCCTTTCATCTCTTCATTCAACATCATGTTTGAGCACGTGCTCAAGGCATAAAATAGCAACAGTGGACAAGGAAGCCATGGTCACTTTTCCCTGCCCCATCCCCTATGGGGAGCAAGAGTACTTCATGACAGCTTGTGTACATACAGTGTCACTGCTTTGCACGCTGAAAACAACTTTGGCAAGAACAATAGTAGACCCTGAAAAAAGAAAAATATCCTGCATTGGCTTGATACGGAAAAACATATTTTGCTAAACTTGAAGGGAGGAATGAGATTCTTCTGTGGTATCTAAATTTCACTAAAGATATAGATCATGTCTTGAGCAAATTATTTTAAAAATGGACTTTTGGGAAGATAGCGGCGGAACCAGTCAGACTATGCAAGTTCCAGTGTAAGTGAGTATATGGAAAATTTTGTGTACGTGTCTGTAAGTGGGTGTGGCTGACTGAGTGGGGACTCAGGAGCAAGTAGCCAGGGCTCTCCTGGTGAAGTGGTTGGTGTCACAGCTGCTCTGCTTAGACCCTAGCACTCCCTGGGTGTGGAAGCCGAGCGCCATTTTTTTTTTTTAATCAGCAAAGCTGGGAGTGACTACTGGCTCCATGCTCTGCCTCACCACTGCAGCACCTGGCCAGACTCTGGCAGCAAAGGCTGCAGAAGGAGCACAGCAAGGGAGCCCAGAGGCAGAGCCCCACCGGAGGGGCTTGAAAACTGCCACTATCTTGAAAACTGGGCAGGAAGTGCTCCAGCTTGCTCACCACAGAGCAACCCACCCAATCTCTGTGACCGGCGGATTAACTACTCAGGGGTTGATCGTGACAAGGAGGGAATATCCTGAAAGCACAAACTCTGGAGGGACAGAACAAGTGCTGAGTCTCAGGTGCCCCACCCCTACCCAGATTCAGCCAGGGCAAAGGGTGTGGCCAGAAAAGGACGAGGAAGACCTCAAAAAACATCAGCGCTGAGTCTGGGGCTGACCCAACCCCCTCTTCCCCAGCAATCCTCTGAATGTCAGGCCCGCATGGCTGGGGAACGACTGACAGGGACGAACCCAGGCAGAGCCTGGACATCAGCCATGATAGGACTCTACTCCAGGATAAGCCTGGCTGGGACACCCCTGAACCACCACCTGGGGAAGACACAGTCCCACATCTCCCCACCAGAGGGGATCCCCCTGACCATATGAGAGTGTGAAGGGAGGACTGACCCTACCCACCCCTACCACTTCTTCCTCCTTCCCCAGTCGGAGACTGGGGTGCTTGTGCATAAGGCCACAGCTCCACAGGAGACAGGAGAGGGGCTTACCTATGAGCAGCTGAGGAAAACAACTGCAGAGGGTAGGCCATGAGGGTAGGCTGTTTTTTGTTTGTTTGGGGGGCTTTTTTTTGTTTTTTTAATTTATTTTTTTTCCTTTTCCTTTATGCATGAATGTATATGTGAGGGCTCTATCTGCATTCCCCACCCACTTTTTTTTCCTTTTTCTTTCTGTCTTCTTTCATTTTGTTTTCTTTTTATGTGTATATGTGAATGAGTGTTCACCTTTTAGTTTTTTGTTTGCTTTTTTTGTTCTTTTCTTTTTCTTAGTTTAACATATGTGTAAGGATTCGATTTGAATTCCTTTTTTTTTCTCTTCTCTTTTTTTTCTTCTCCTTTCATTTTGTGTTGGGTGTGTGTGTGTGTGTGTGTGTGTGTTCGGTTTTCCTGTTTTGTGTTTTGTCTGTTTGTTTTCTTTTTTTCCCCCAATTTCGTTGGTTTCTGTGTGTGTGTTTCTGTGTGTGTGTGTGTGTGTGTGTGTGTGTGTGTGTGTGTGTTTATTTTTTGCTTTGGTTTCTGTTTTTGTTTTTCTGGGTTTGTTTTACTTTTGTCCATCTTATTTCATTCCTCTTTTCTCTGTTCTCCTCATTGCTGTATCTTGGACTCAGGGGGTTCACAGACATACCCACTGTATTGCCATATAGAGAGATGGTGGGGAGTGTGTCTCAGGGAACTCATATCACAATCAGTGATTTGCAAGTAGTTTCTGAATCCTAGTTCCCCATTCTCCACTTTATTTGACTCTCAAAACTACAAGAGACAGCAAGGTTTCCCACCCACAGCCCTGTTTCAAAATAGAACAAACTCAAAGCCCTGACCAGGGAAGAATAGAGGACTGAGCAACCATCAAAAGTAAAAGCCTCTCCCATGGACATTGAATATAAAAAAAAGAGAAAAGAAAGAGATTGGTCACAAATGAGAGAAAAAGAATCAACGGAAGAACACAGGTAATTCCTAGTGCAACAGAGGGAAAACACCTGAAAAATCAGACCTCAGAGCCCAAACAATGGAAGTCACCAAAGACTGGCACCAGAATACAACAGGGATTTGGGGATGGATGTAAAGAGTGAATACGACTCAAGAAAGACAAGATGCAACACTGAAAGAACTTGTAACAGAGATTCTTGTCATAACAAATTTCATCCAGGAAATAACTAACAAGATGACAAGCATGGAAAGCAGAATGAATTAAGCAGAACAAAGACTCTCAGAACTTGAAGACCAAAACATGGAATTAACCCGACCTGTAAAAGACATAGAAAGAAAATTCCAAAAGAAAGAACAAAGTCTCCAAGAGATGTGTAATTATATCAAGAGGTCAAACCTATGCCTGATTGGTATCTCAGAAGAAAAAAGGGAAAGGGAGAATATCTTAGAGCAAGTATTCTAGCAGGTTTTCCAAGAAAATTTTCCCCATCTCACCAGAGATGTGATAATCCAAACACAAGAGATACAGAGAACCCCCACAAGACATCAAATGAGAAGACCAACCCCTAGACACATAGTAATTCACCTACACAAAGTAGGTACAAAAGAAAAAATCCTAAAGACAGCAAGAGAAAAAGGTCAGACTACCTACCGGGGAAAACCAATCAGAATAGCAGCAGACCTATCAGCAGAAACACTACAAGCTAGAAGGGACTAGAGTCCAATATTCAAAGTTGTTGAAGATAAACGATTTCAACCAAGAATTTCCTACCCAACCAAGCTCAGCTTCATCAGTGATGGAGAATTAAAATCCTTCCCAGATATCCAATCCCTAAGTTATTATGCGGCTTCCACACCAGCTCTACAGGAGACATTTAAAAAGGTATTAAGCCCAGAAGAAAGAAAAAAAAGAATGACCACACATTTCCCAAGAGAACAGAGGAATATAGAAGCAATAGAGAACACATCGTAACTGCAAACTTGAAAAAAAAAAACACATACATCAACCCAAAAGTTAAAAGGAAACAAAGAAAAACTTTATAAGAACCTCATGATAGGGATAAACAATCATATTTCAATAATCAGCCAGAACATGAATGGACTAAATGCACCACTGAAAAGTCAGAATGGCAAACTGGATTAAAATAACATGACCCAATAATTTGCTGCATCCAGAAAACTCACCTCACCACAAGGGGTGCACACAGGCTCAAAGTTAGAGGATGGAAAATGAGTGTCCAGGCAAATGGATCACAAAAGAAGGCAGAAGTCATGATCTTAATATAAGACAAAACAACTTTTAAACTATCAAAAATTTAAAAGATACAAAAGGACACTACATAATGATAAAAAGTTCAATCCATCAACAAGAATCATCCATCCTAAATATATATGCACCCAACACAGGAGCACCAGTGTTTAAAAAGCAACTACTAAGTAAACTAAAAAAAGATATTGACTCTAACACTATTATAGCTGGGGACTTAAATACCCTACTAACAACCACAGATAGATCATCAAGGCAAAAAATTAACAAAGAGATCCAGAATTTCAACTTGACACTTGACCAAATGGACTTAATAGATAGCTACAGAACACTTCACCCAATAACCACATGATATACATTCTACTCATCACCACATGGAATGTACTCCAGGATCAATCACATCCTTGGCCATAAATCAACTATAAAAAAAATTCCTAAGATTGAAATACTGCCATGTGCCTTCTCAGACCACAGTGGAATAAAAATAAATATCAACATCAACAAAATTCTCCCAAAACCCACAAAGACATGGACACTAAACAGCATGATGCTGAATGATTATTGGGTCAACACAGATATCAAAACAGACATTAAAAGACTCCTGGAAACAAATAAAAATGAGAAACATCCTACCAAACCCTCTGGGATGCCACGAAATCAGTTCTAAGAGGGAAATTTATATCTCTATGAACACATATCAAGAAAATGGAAAGATCACAAGTTAGCTGCCTAATTAATCACCTGGAATGGGAGCTGGAATGACAAAACCACCAAAACCCTAACATTCATAGAAGAATCCAAATCACCAAAGTATAAGCCCAAATATGGAACACAGAAGACAAAAATATAGAAAATAACAACAAAACAAAAAGCTGGTTCTTTGAAAGAATAAACAAGATTGAAGGACCCCCCCCAGCCAAAATGACCAAGAAAAAGACCAAATAAACACAATCAGAAATGCAAAAGATCAAACCATAAGAAAAACCAAAAGATTATCAGAGACTACTATATGTACCTGTATGGAAACAAACTTGATAACCTAAACAAAATGGAGGACTTTCTGACATCACACAACCTCCCAAAGTTGAAACAATAAGACACGGAGACACTAAATAGACTAATAACAACCCAGGAAATGATTCCAACATAAGAAAACTATACACACACACAAATCCTGGATATGATAGCTTTCCATGGGAGTTCTACAAAACATACAAGGAGGAGCTGATTCCAATCCTACTGAAAGTATTTCCAAGCAATCAAGAAAGATGGAACTTTTCCCAAATAATTTTATGAAGCTAACATCACACTGATACCCAAACTGGGTAAAGAGCCAACAAAAAGAGAACTACAGGCCAATATCCCTGATGAACACAGATGCAAAAACTATCAACAAGATTCTAGCAAATCGGATCCAACAACACATTTCAAACACCATCCACCATAACCAAGTAGGCTTCATCCCCGGAATGGGGATGCAGGACTGGTTAAACATTCACAAGACCGTAAATGTAATTAAATACATCACAGATATAAAAAGAAGAAAAGAAGAAAAATCACATGATTATATGATAAGATGCAGAAAAACTTTTCAATAAAATCCAGCATCCCGTCTTGATAAAAACCCTCAAACACTTAGGTATAGAAGGAACAAGAAACACACCTCAAAATAGTAAGTGCCATCTGCAATAAACCCACAGCCAACATATTGCTATGTGGACAGAAACTGGAAGCTTCCCTGGAAAACCAGAACAAGACAAGGTTGCCCACTCTCATCCCTCCTGTTCAACATTGTGTTGGAAGTCCTAGCTAGAGCAGTTAGACAAGAGAAGTAAAGCAGGGGCATCCAAATAGGAAAAGAAGAAGTTAAGTTACCCCTCTTTGCTGACAATATGATCCTATACCTTGAAAATTCAACCGCCTGGGCAGGAGACCTCGTCTCTACAATAAATCAAAAAATCAGCCGGGCGTGGTAGCCTGTAATTCTGGCTACTTGGAAGGCCGAGGCGGAAGGACCGCCGGAGCCCAGCGGGTCGAGGCTGCGGTGGCCGGAAGCGGCCACTGCACTCCAGTCTGGGCAACAGAGTGAGACTCCAACTCAAAAAAAAAAAAAAAAAAAGAAAATTCAAGAGAATCTGTTAAAACCTCCTTGCACTTATAAAGGACTTTGGCAAAGTCTTGGGGTACAAAATAAATGTGCATAAGACAGTCGCATTCTGATACACCAACAATAAACAGGTAGAGAACCAAATTAAACGGATAATACCATTCATAATAGCCACCAAAAAATGAAATACCTCAGCATCTTCTTAACTAGAGAAGTGAAAGACCTTTACAATGAAAACTACAAAACACTGCCCAAAGAAATCCAAGAAGACAAAAACAAATGGAAAAATAATCCATGCTCACGGATAGGAAGAATCAACATTGTTAAGATGTCCATCCAACCAAAGACAATCTACAGATTCAACGCAATACCCATTAAATTACCAACATCATTCTCAGACAAGGAAATGACAATACAGAAATTCATATAGAAATATAAACAACCATGAATAGCCAAAACAATCCTCAGCAAAAGAAACAAAGCAGGAGGTATTCCAGGCTTTAAACTTCACTACAGGACTACAATAATCTAAACAGCCTGGTATTGGTACAAGAACAGGTATATGTGCCAGTGAAAAAGGATAGCAATTCTAGAAGCAAAACCTCAATTCCTCAACAAACTCATCTTCGACAATCTCCACCAACAACCACTGGGGAGAGAAGAACCTATTCAGTAAATGATGCTGGGAAATCTAGCTGACCACATGCAGAAGATTGAAACAGGACCTCTACCTATCACCATACGCAAAAATCAACTCTAAATGGATCAAAGACCTAAATGTAAAACCTCAAGCTGTAAGAATCTTAGAAAACACAGGAGATACTCTTACGAAAATCAGAGTGGGCCACCAATTCCTGATCAGAACCCCAGATGTCCATGCCATAAGAGATAAGATGGGCAAGTAGGACCTCATTAAACTGAAAATCTTCTGCAAAGCAAAAGAAACCATCAAGAGAGCAGGGAGACAGCCCACAGAATGGGAAAAACTATTTGCCAACTGTATATCTGATGAATTCCTAACTTCCAGGATCTATAAGAAACTCAAACATGACAAAAGGAAAAAAACAAACAGCCCCATTAAAAAGTAGGCAAAAGACATGAATAGACACCTCTCAAAAGACACACGAAAAGTCAACAGACACATGAAAAAATACTCAGCCACACTAATCATCAGAGAAATGCAAATCAAAACTACATTGAGATATCACCTAACCTCAGTAAGAATGGCCATCATTAATAAAACAAACGGTCTTGAGTGTCTCCATTCACGTCGGGTGATGGAGAAGGATTCCTGAAACCATGGATCACCCACATGTGCTTTGAAGCAAGCTTTAGATTTTTTTTGTGGAAGCCCTGCAACTTCCCTAAAAATTGAATGTATTATGACCTATGGACGTGGCAAGATGGCGACAGGGCAACCCGGCGTCTGAAGCCCTCTGCAAGGGAGATCTGCAGTGGGTCTGACTCTCGCCCCGGGGGGCTGGGGACCCCAGCATCGCAGCCTGCTCAACAGACAGAGCTCGGCGGCTGCCATCGGAACGACTGGGCAGTTTTGACTGCATGCCAAACGGTCCGCCGCCGCCGCCCCTTCCCCCACCGCCGCTGCCGGCGCCATGACCACCGCCGCCGCGGCCTCTGGGAGGGGTAGCATATCGCACCATGTGGCCCGAGGAGATCCACAACGAACCGCTTCAGGGAAGATCTGCTGGGATCGCTGCCACCTATCCTGTGTCGAGACCGTCCTGCCCGCCTGGCGTGGGGCTCCTGTTGCCTGCTCGGAGGCAGGCAGCCATCTTGTTCCTGTCCAGCCCCACCCGCTCTGGGGCGAGCAGATGAGATAGCACCACCTGCTGGCGATTCAAGGTAACAACACGGAAACGGGAGAAGCAAGCTTGATAAAGACATAGACCAGAGTGCTAAAGGAAGATTAATCTGAATTGTCCTTCACAGCAGATCAGGGGCAATTGACCCTAACTGCAAACTAATTTACCAGCTTGAAAAGAAAACTAGAAATCAGACCTGAAAGGACATTGGACTTAAACGAAATGTCTCAGAGTGTGCTTCATTGATTCTATTAGTTTAATGACTTAATTCTATCCCTATTGTATTGTTCCCTTTTTTCTTTTTTCCTTTTCCTTTTCTTCTCTTTTCTTCTCTCTGTAAGCCCTATCTTTGTATAGAGGAACAACACACTAATAAGATGGTTGGTTAGCTTATATGTTAGCGATACTATATGTTTTATTTTTAATTTTTATTTTTGGTATAAGAGTTAGCTCGTCTGTAACTATGGTCTATTGTTTTAATCTGTTTCAGTATAGGCCTTTCTCTCTATTTGTTGGAACACTCGTTTGTTTCCCCCCTTACTCCTCTATCTCTCCACTCTACTCTCCAAACTACTATCTGCTCCATTCTCTCCCCTCTGCTAACCACATTTTACTTCAGGGAGTAAACCTACAGCCCCACTGCACAGACAGATCCCAGGGCAGTGGGAAGTGGGTTCCACATTATCCACACACCTGTCAGCGAATACCAGGACCTGCAGACAGATTTTGAATCACAGCTCTCCCCTTAAATACATCTCAAAACTGCAAAAAGGACCACCTCCAACCTACAGTGCAACTTCAGAATTGAACAAAGTAAGAGGACATACATAAAGAATAGGAGATTGAACAAGCAGAAGTAAAACCAATCCCTTTACCCCTGAATAACAGAATTAAAGAAGACGGTGATGTGGAGGGAAGGAAAAAGTAGAGAGGGGGAAAAACCGCACAAATGAAGAAAAACCAAAAGAAGAATATAGGTCCTACACAGACCCCTGGGAAATCAGACACTGAGAAAACAGATTCTGGAACACAGACAACGAAGAGTCCCCAGAATGACTGGTTACATGCAACAAACCCAGACATCAAGACATTAATGGAGAGAATTTAAAAAATTGAGGAGAGACAAGAGGAAAAGAGGAAGGAGCTGATGTCAGAAATGACAGCAGTAAAGAATACTGTGATGGAAATGAACAACAGATTAATAAGCATGGAAAGCAGAATCAGCCAAGCAGAAGAAAGAATCTCAGAGCTCGAAGACCAAAACACAGAACTAGCCCAAACTGTCAAAAGCATAGAAAAGAAGCTCAAAAAGACAGAACAAAACCTGCAAGAGATGAATGATCACTTCAAGAGACCAAATCTAAGAATAATTGGGCTTCCTGAGGCAGAAAGAGAAACAGAAGCCACGCTGGAACAAACATTTCATGAAATCATTCAAGAAAACTTCCCTCATCTCATTAAGGATGAAAAAATTCAAACACAAGACATTCAGAGAATTCCTGCAAGACAACAAACAAGAAGACCAACTCCCAGACACATAATAATTTGCCTAAACAAAGTAGCTATGAAAGGAAAAATCCTAAAGGCAGTAAGAGAAAAAGGCCAGACTACCTACCAGGGAAAACCAATTAGAATAGTAGCAGATTTATCCACAGAAACCCTTCAGGCCAGAAGAGCCTGGAGCCCTATCTTCAAAGTTCTAAAAGAGAAACAATTTCAACCAAGAATAACCTACCCAGCCAAACTAAGCTTCATTAGTGAGGGAGAATTGAAATCTTTTCCAGACATCCAATCCCTAAGAACCTACGCTGCCACCAGACCACCTCTACAAGAAACACTTAAGAAAGTACTGAACACAGAAGAAAAAGAAAAAAGAACAACAGCATTCTTCACAAGAGTACAGGCAAAAGGTTAAAAACAAACATGAACCAACTCCAAAACCCAAAGAAAGACAACAAACAAACAGGAACAACTCTGTAAGAACCTTATGACAGGGATCAACTCTTGCATTTCAATTATTAGCCTAAATGTGAATGGACTAAATGCACCATGTCTGAAAAGACATAGAATGGCAAAATGGATAAAATATCATCAGGCAACAATCTATTGCCTTAAAGAGACTCACCTCACTAGAAAAGACACCCACAGGCTCAAAGTAAGAGAATGGGAAACAAACTTTCAGGTGAACAGAATACAAAAGAAAGGAGGAGTAGCGATCTTAATCTCAGACAAAATATACTTCAAGCTATTAAAAATCAAAAAAGATACAGAAGGCCACTACATAATGATAAAAGGCTCAATCCATCAACAAGAAATATCTATCCTAAACATATATGCACCCAACATAGGTGCGCCAACTTTCATAAAGCAACTTCTTGGAAAACTAAAGAAAGATATTGACTCTAACACTATCATAACTGGGGACTTTAATACCACACTCGCAACCCTAGACAGATCATCAGGACAAAAAATCAGCAAGGAGATCCGGAACCTCAATGTGACTTTGGACCAAATGGACTTAATTGATACCTACAGAACACTCCATCCAAAGACCACAGAATACGCATTCTACTCTCACCACATGGAACATATTGTAAGATCGACCACATACTCGGCCATAAATCAAGCATAAGCAAATTTAAAAGGACCGAAATTCTACCAAGCACCTTCTTGGACCACAGTGGAATAAAAATAAACATTGACACCAACAAAGTCCCCCCAAAACCCACAAAGACATGGACACTAAACAGCATGATGCTAAACAACTCCTGGGTCAATGACGAAATCAAAACAGAGATCAAAAGATACCTGGAAACAAATGAAAATGAAGAAACATCTTACCAAAATTTCTGGGATGTCCTGAAAGCTGTAGTAAGAGTGGAATTTATATCCCTACAAACACACATGAAGAAAATGGAAGGAACAGAAATTCACAACCTAATAAGCCACCTAAAGAAGCTGGAAAGCAAGACCACAAAAACCCTAATTTCAGCAGAAGAATTCAGATCACCAAAATAAAAGCCCAAATCCAGGACATAGAAGACAAAAAGATAATACAAAAAATCAATGAAACAAAAAGCTGGTTCTTCAAAAGGATAAACAAGATTGATGGTCCCCTAGCTAGACTGACCAAGGAAAAACAAGAAAAAAACCAAATAAGCACAATCAGAAACACAAAAGATGAAGTCACATCTGACCCTGAAGAAATACAAAGATCATTAGAGACTACTACGTACACTTGTATGGAAACAAACTTGAAAAACTTAAGGAAATGGAGGACTTTCTGACATCACACAACCTACCTAGGTTGGAACAAGAAGAAATTGAGACTCTAAATAGACCAATAACAATCAAGGAAATTGACTATGTAATAAGAAATCTACCTACAAAAAAAGCCCTGGACCAGATGGCTTTCCAGCAGAATTCTACAAGACATTTAAGGAGGAACTGATTCCAATACTACTGAAGCTATTTCAGGTGATTGAGAAAGATGGAACCCTCCCCAAATCATTTTATGAAACTAACATCACATTGATACCCAAGCCAGGTAAATATCCAACAAAGAAAGAGAACTACAAGCCAATATGTTTGATGAACTTAGATGCTAAAATTCTCAATAAGATCCTAGCAAACCGGATTCAGCAATACATCTCAAAAATCATCCACCATGACCAAGTAGGCTTCATTCCTGGGATGCAAGGCTCGTTCAACATTCGTAAAACCATAAATGTAATTAAATACATCAACAGATGTCAAAACAAAAACCACATGATCATATCATTAGATGCAGAAAAAGGTTTTGATAAAATCCAGCACCTCTTCTTGATAAAAACCCTTCAACATCTAGGCATACAGGAAACAGACCTCAAAATAGTAAAAGCCATCTACAAGAAACCCACAGCCAGCATATTCCTAAATGGACAAAAATTGGAACCAATTCCACTGAAAACTGGAACTAGACAAGGATGTCCACTCTCACCCTTCCTGTTCAACTTAGTATAGGAAGTCCTGGCTAGAGCAATCAGAGAAGAGGAGGCAATCAGAGGTATTCAAATAGGAAAAGAGGAAGTCAAGTTATCTCTCTATGCAGATGATATGATTGTGTACCTTGAAAACCCAAGAGAATCTGTCAAAAGCCTCCTTACATTGATAAAGGCCTTTGGCAAAGTCTCAGAATACAAAATAAATGTACAAAAGACAATCGCATTTCTCTACACCAATAATAAGCAAACAGTAACCCAAATAAAAAACACAATTCCATTCACAATAGCCACAAAAAAAATGAAATACCTTGGCATCTTCCTAACCAGAGACATGAAAGACCTTTACAATGAAAATTACAAAACACTGCTCAAAGAAATCAAATTTGACATGAACAAGTGGAAAAATATCCCATGCTCATGGATTGGAAGAATCAACATTGTGAAGATGTCCATCTTACCTAAGGCAATCTACAAATTCAATGCAATACCCATTAAATTACCAACAACTTTCTTCTCAGACCTAGAAAAAACATCACAGGAATTCATATGGAAACACAAACATCCAAGAATAGGCAGAACAATCCTCAGCAAAAAAAAAAAAAAAAAAAAAAAGCAAAAAAGCAGGTGGAATCACAATACCAGACTTCAAACTTTACTATAAAGCTACAATCATCAAAACAGCTTGGTATTGGTACAGGAAGAGGCATATAGATCAATGGAATAGAATTGAGATTCCAGAAGCAAAACCTCAATTTC